TCAAAGCCGTGAGGTCCTTTAGGGTTTAAGGTTTATAGGGTTTATAGGGTTTAGGGCCTTTAGGGTTTAGGGTTTGGGGTTTATAGGGTTTAGGTCCCTAAAGCTTAATTCCGAAGCCCTGAATCAGAAGCACTGAACTGGGCTTGCGGTTCCCGTCCAAGGTTTGGCCTGAAGATGCTGACAGCCTTTTAAAAGGCACTCCTAAGATAATATAGGGGCCTAAAATAATTAGAATAGGGTTTTGGGTATATTATACTATACCTCTACTAAGGAACCCCCAAAAATAACGTAGGTAATTATTAGGGCCCCCTATATTAACGGGTTCCTGCAAGGTTGCTCCCCAGGATCCCTTCTGACAAGGGGTTCCGAAAAAGGGGGGGTTCCTCTAGAAGGGGTTATTTTTAACTTACGTCCCTAAAGCCCTAAAGCCTTAAAGCCCTAAAGCCCTAAAGCCCTCAAGCCCTGAAGCCCTGAAGCCCTAAAGCCCTAAAGCCCTAAAGGGTCCTTGTCAGGGTTCAGGACTGAGGATTCCTATGAGTTTCGAGCCCAGGTGCCCACGATTGCTGCGAGCTCTGCTACGCAAAGAGCAGCGCGAGCCCCGGTGGAGGGGGGACTTTTGGTGGGGAAGTCGGGGCTTTCGGAGCCTTCGCCTAGGGTTTAGGGTTTAGGGTTTAGGGTTTAGGGTTTAGGGTTTAGGGTTTAGGCCCTGAGTCTTGGCCTTTGGGTTTAAGCTAAGGCTGTATTCAGGTTTTAGAAGGATATGTAGGATTTTTGAACCTCAATCGCTCATAATGGCCAGCATAGGGTCGTGGGGATATCATCGTAGTGTTATATAGGGACTATGAGGAGACATTGTTTCTCATATCCGAAGTCCAAGAAACCAGCCCCAAAATCTTGAAACCCTCATGCCAAGATCCTTAACCCCTGAAGCTCTGAACCCTAAGCCCTAAACCCCAAACCCTAAACCCCGGAAGCTCCGAACCCTAAACCCTAAACCCCTGAAGCTCCGAACCCTAAACCCTAAACCCCTAAAATCCTAAACCCCTGAAGCTCCGAACCCTAAATTCAAGAGCCTAAGCCCTAAACCCC